AAAAAATTTAAAGGCTAGTGCTGTAGCTTGTGGTAGAGCACTGGCCTAGCATGCACAGGGTCTGGGCTAGGTCGCCAGTACTGAAAAAGTAAAACAAAGAAACCGCTGGACTCCATGAGGCTTGTTTGGTGAGTTGTGAGAAGCCAGGGGCTTGGAAGGAGACTCGTAATTACTTTTAGGAGTTAGGTCTCTTGATTCCACACCAGAGCCTGCCCGGCTTACCTGACTTATCCCACTTATCTGTCTCAAACTTTCCATTAAATTTTCTCCCCCTTTTACATCTTCCTAAAGAATCCCCTAGTCACTGACTTTTGTGGCTCCATGATTATGTACCACGATTGTTCATGACAACATCCTCTGTAGTAGCAGTGACATAAACAACCTAAGTGTCCTGTTAGGGGACTGTTTAAATAAATTGCAACACCTCCCCCTAGTGGGGCGTTCAGAGAGGGACCTTTCCAGGTTGAGATGTGGAAAGACCCCAAGGTACAAGCGCCAGAGGTGAAGAAATTTGTGTAAATATACAACAATGTGTGTGGGAAAGCTGTGTGTGTGTGTGTGTGTGTGTGTCTCTGTCTGTGTGTGTCTGTCTGTCTGTCTGTAGACTAGGTACAAAAAGCTGGAAAAGACGCACACAAACTGGAAATGCTGGGTGCCTTCTGGGTGGGGAATGGAGTGACCGGAGGGCAGAGTGGAAAGGGACCCTTAACTTTACATCCATTGGGTCTTTTCCAAAGTGGAGCCATACATTTTAACAGTGAGATGTCCTCCTGCTGTTCAGAATGACATGCAATTAAAAACCTAGGAGCTGTTCATTTCTGGAATTTTCCATTTAATATTCAGTTGACTGCAGGTAGCTGAAGCTGTGGGAGGAGAAACCACACAAGGGAGACCACTGCACACAGCTGCCATCTGCCCTCCCTCCCTTTCCCTGCCTCTGGAACTCTGTGACCTCCCAGCTCCAGGCAGGATTGGCCAGTGAGAGCCTCCTGTCAGGGCTGGGAGGGGAGGAGCAGGGTCTCCCTCCCTCTCTGCCCACAGCAGCAGGCCTCACTCCTCTGGCCACCAGCCCTCTCCCTGTGGTCCCAGCGGGGTGGCTCTGGCCTTTGAACCCCAATAAATGCTGCCTGTCCATTTTGACTCCATCCCAGGGGTGGAAGGAGCTTGACTGTAAAACATCAAAGACAAAGAGCCAAACCATTCTCCCTGCAGCTCCCACCTAGGGTCCGCTCCGCCCCACGAGGCCTCCCAGGACACATCCCTGCTGTGCAGGGTCTAGATCAAATGAGTCTGTGAGATGCTCTGCCAGGCTCTCAGGTGGCACAGTTGCTCCCTGCTCTACAGACGGCGAGGAAGAAAAGGCTTCGTTAGGAACCACACCCAGCCCTCTGCAGCCAACGACACCTGGCTCTGGATGACATGAACATGACCCTGAACACACCATTAGCCTCCGGGTGGCTGTGCAGCCTGGATGCTCATCAGATTCTCCAAAGGCACTTGATGTACAGTCACGTCATTCAGTGACAGAGATACATCTTAGAAACGCCTTGTTAGGCAATTTCATCCATGTGTGGACAGCCTGCAGCGTGCTTAACGTACCTAAGTGACCACCATGTTACTTCACGAGAATCCTGACCGAGGCATCATCGTGTGATATGTGACTGTAAACAGATTCTTAGAGAATCTCACTCCTCGGTACAGACTTGTGCAAGGCCTCCATGATACCAGAAAAGTCGTGGCGTCCGCACAGATTATCCCACTTAATCTACCACCTGCAGCTTTCTGTGCTAAGGATGTCTTCACAGAAGAGGAAGCAAAGGCCATTATCAGATGACAGCCTCAAATCCAGCAGCCCGCCTGCCAGCAATGAGCTCTGGCAGAAGTCCTGTGGGTGTCCTTGGGGTGGGGTCTCCCTGCTTTGCCCCACTAGACTCACTCCACCTCTGCTCAGTGGCCCTACACACACACCTCCGCGTTGCCTCTCTGTCCTCATCCCTGCCTGACCCTCTGCTCCATTTTAGAGGGAGACTTGCTATCAATTGTGAGCTTCCTGCTGCTCTTTCCAGGCTGCTCCTGGATCAGCTCATCCCTACCCCCACTCAGAGATGCCATTCCTGTAGCGCCATCAGCAACATCTGCTCTGACAGAGCCCATCTCTGGCTTTGTCTTCCGCTCACGGCCTCTGGCTGCATTGCCAGGCTGGATGGCCCCTCTTGGTGGAAACATGGTCTTCTCCAGACGCCTGGGTCCCCTCCCCTGCTTTCTCCCTTCTCCTGGGCTGGTTCCCACTCATCTCCTGCCCCTTGACCATGGAGTGTCCCCAAGCTCGAGCTCATCTCTCTCGTTTGCACTCCCTCCCTAGAAGGTGTCACCCAGTCTCATATGGAATGTCATCTTAATGGATGACAATCCCCAGCTCTCTGGCCTGGACTCACCTCTCGCTTCACACTTGCATATTTAACAGTTTCTAGATCTGTCCTCTGGGATGCCTCGTGGCATCTCACACTGACCATCAAAAACCCAACTCTCGGCTCTCACTACCAAGGACCCCGACGCCATGCACTGCCCCTCTCCACCGTCCACCCCGTCTGAGTAACTCAGCCCATCTTCCCCATGATGTAAGCCAACAAGCGGACTCACACTTGCTGTTTCCTTCACTGCCCACATCCAATCCATCACTGCCTCCAAATCACGTCCCAAATCAAACCACCCCTCTCATTTCCAGTCCCATGTTGTGGCAGGGTGGGGGCCATGTCACTGCAGACCACTGCAGTGGCCCCAGATGGCTCTGCTTCCACTCTTGCCCTGCTGTCATTCACTGTCCACAGAGCAGCCCTGTGATCCTTTCAAAGCATGTGCTGACGTCCATCCCTGGTTTAAAGCCATCTGGTCCCTGCTCGGTGAACTTAGACTCCACACCAGGGCCCTTGACCCTGCCTGAGATGGCCTTTGCCGCGGGCTCTCTCTCACTGCTCACCCTCAGGCTCGCTCTCACTGCTCTGAGCTCCTGAGCCTCCATGATCCCTCGGGCATGCCAGGCTGGTCCCCGACTCCTGGTCCTTGTCCTTGCTGTCTCCTCTCGGGTACTACTGTCC